AAGTGCAACATTGACCCTTACTCCCTAGTGGATTACTGTGTTACATGCTGTAAATGGCAGGAAGTCCATTTTGTTCTTCCAGAAGGAGTTGTACTTGGCTTTCTATGTGTTGAAAGTGTAAGTGGAGGCAGAGAATACTTAAGAATTACCTTCTGAAGCTTTTGTGAATGTGATTTGACAGTATATTCTTTTTTGTGCATTAAGGGCTGATTCTCTGTTTCTTTTGCTTTAAAGGAATGGATTAGGACACGATTTTTTTGGTGTCATCAAACCTTTGGGTTTTCTTGTTGTTCCTGAGTTGTATTCTTCCCAATCTAATGACTGATGTGATTCTCAAAATTGGGTTGAAATAAATAAAAGTAAATAAAAATATAATAAATAAGAATGCATAAGCCTTAAGAAGTAGTGATAGTGTTTTCAAATACTGATCTAACTTCATGATATAGGAAGTGCAGTTTGCAAGATGACAAGCTTCTAACATAACAACGGACATTTTTAGCTGAGCATTGTTTTGTAAAGGTAAGTCTGGACAGATTTGAGGAAACTGAGCCTTATTAACAGAGCAGTTGTCACAATACAGCTGATTGTTAAAAATAACGTGTTGTAAGATCTAATTTTTGCTTTGGATCATTGTGGATGCTATGGCTAAAGTCACTACTGGGACACGTATGGCAGACACTGATGGGACCAAGCCCAAAATTATTATTGCTGAAACCTCTGAGGTTTCAACTAATTCTCCTCAGAGGAAGGTCACATTCTTCACTCAGAAGTAAGAGTGATGGCTCATGTAGGCTGGGCCTTCCAGCATTAGTGATAAAATACACATGGGTGTTAGGTGTGGTGAGAAATAGAGTTAGAGTTTGGATACTTGTGTTATACTTCCTTCTTTTATTCCAGTGCAAAAATCTGTAGTTGTTTAAGAAATCAAGTTGATTTAAGTATGATATCTTATGTGGTGCTTTGGAAAGTACAGGCTGTCAAAATGTAAAATGATCTGGAATAGACTACTGTAGAAGAAAACACTTCAACATTTTTTTTTAAAATGCAGAAGGAAAAAGATACAATTGTATATACAAGCTCTTTCTTAACTGCTTAGTAAAATGACTTATTTAAATGAATATTATATTTAGTAACTAGTCTGGCTGCTTGTTCTTTGTCATTATGTTGAGAATTCACTTTAGCAAGAGACAAATTTAAGTGCAAACACTTGAGTTTGGCAGTGGATAGGTCAAAACATTTAAGTCCTTAATTAGATGGAACAGAGGCAAAAATTACATGAGTGAAGAAAATCCGTCTGCTCAACCTAATTTTGCAAAATCCATCTGAATTCCTTCATGTTAATTTTTAATGATACTTAAGAAGGGAGGGTAGCACTTCAGTCAGGGGTCTGACAAGCTTGTCATTTGCAAATAATTCAAAAGACAATCATTACAACAGCAAGAACCAGTGAATGATGTAGTTTTGTCATTCTTTGATGGGCCCCACACTCAAGTCCTCTATTAAAAATGAATGTATTCAAGAGGCTCTGCATTAAGAACACAAACAATTAAGGGCACTTCAGATGCTTTGCTAAGAGCTGCCATAGAGCTAGGAGGGCTTTCATGAGAGATGCAGGCTTCTACAGTCTGCTTTACCAAGGAGCCAAAGAACGTGGGCAATTAGTCATGTTTGTCTATGCTTGAGCAGCTTTCTGCAAAATTTTCTTTGTTTACTCATTCTTCTGACTACCCTACATGTCTCAAGATCAGCAGTTAGATAATAGCTATGTTACATTGGGAGGCATCCAGAAGTAACTGATAAGTACTTTTCTTTTAAGACTTTCAAATGCATGAGCCCCAAATCTGAATATATAGCTTACTCTAATGCCACCAGTTACTGATGTCTACTCTTGATTAACAAAGTTCTCCTAGACTCCTTCAAAAAAGTTTTTTGATTTCAAGAATGATTATATATATATATACACGTGTGCATATATACTCAAAGATATTTAACCCTGAAAGGTGAACTGTTTGAACAGCTAGATTTATATTTAGTCATGAAAGTTCCTTACTCTCAAGTCTGACAACAGCCTCTTGCAACTCCTGGTGGGCAAGATTAGGTGAATTTTGCATTAAAACCTAACTTTCACAGCTAACTAGAGAGCAAAAACATTTGACATGTTTGTGAATAAGAATAGTTTTTACTGAACATTTGAGGGCAGCAAACAGGAGGTGTATGAAATCTTGTGGATAAATAATTTTAAGTACTTTATTTAATTGTGTGGGAAATAGCACTGGTGGGCAAACTGCCTTTTAAATGTAAGCAGACTTGTTATGGAGCAAGTTAGAACAGACTTTTCAGATTGCTTTCAGTGTAAATGTCTCTTAACTGACACTTGTAACAGCAGCAAGAAATCTCAAACTCATTTATGGCATGTACATTTCAGTTTACCTAGCACTGTAGATTAATATTAAATGATGCTGTTCATGTATGATCATCAGTGTTGCCCTGCTTTGGTAAAGACAAATTCAGAAGGATACATTTTTTCAGTTCTGATAGTCATGTATGATAATAGTGAGACAATACCTTTAAAGTAAGATTGAATGGGAAAGGGGGAAAGTTGATTATGCCCCTTTTTTTTAGAAAAGAGCTAAATTTTTTTAAAAAATCTGATTAGTCTGCATTGGGACTGGTAATTATTGCATGGTGCTGCATTCTCTTGTCTTTCTGTGTGCTGTCCTGTATGCTATGTTATTACAGTGAAGCTCAGATATTTGGGACCTGTGAGGTAAAACCCAGTAACACGGACAACTTGCATGTTCTATAGACTCTGCTGAAAACAGATTTTTCTTTTTTTTCCTTGCAGCTACAATAAGATTACTTATCTCAGTATTACAGAATAGGGAGACTTCTGTGTAGGTCATACAGGCCAAAAGAACTTTTCAGTAGAAACCCAATGAGTTTCTTATTTTACTTTTTTCTTTCCCATCTTGTCACTTGCTCTGATTCATCCTGGCTTCTGTCTTGAAAAGAAAGGTAATCCCATTGGTCTAGGGCAATTATCTTCCTGGACCCTAAACATCTTAGCTAAAACACTAGCCAACCAGACTGCTATGTAAGACTTCCTTTCTGTAGCTGACGTACCTTGCTTTCTGGAGGGACATGTAGGTATGTGGGAAAAATGCTGTTTAGTACATAGTTTCTCACAATCGTGTGGGGTTTGTTTTTGTTTTTTTTTTTTCCCTCCTTGTTAACAGACACTGAAAGTACCATGAGATTTGGTAATAGTTAAGTCTGATAACTGGTAATAGTTAAGCTGGTAACTTCCTTGTATTGCCTTTGCTGGCATGTATGTAGTAGCAGTACTAAAGGCCACACACAGGATGATGGATATTTTATGGTCATGGCCCATACAAAACAGAAACAGACTGCTGTGGTACTGTGTGAAATGGTAGCTGTTCCTGTTGAGAAGGGAGATCTGTTCTCCTTGTTGTGCAGGAGAAAGGTTTGCTGTAAAGCAACTGTCACTTCATTGCTCTTATTTAAGGGGAACTTTATGGTTCTAAGAAGAAACCAAAACTGCTTTGGAGACACCTGTCTCCTCAAAACTTTAAAGTGGGTTTGTCAAATGCCAGAGTTTGGTCAGGAGGAGTACTTCAGCTTATGTCAAAGAGACACTGGTGGTTTACAAGTCTCAACACTATCAAGTATTTTCCCCGTGTCTGTCAGAGGTGGGGAAAGAGGTGTTAAAGCTTGCTAGTTATATTTGGATCCCAAATCACCTGTCTGCTGAGACATAAAAAGTGAAGGATGGCTTTTGTATCCTAATTACTGCTTGACTGATGTATAAGAATCAGCACATCGCAGTGTCTTCCTAAAAAAATGGAGATGATGGGAAGGCTCAGGGAAAGGCTCAGCAGATGAGTTAGTAATGTTTTCGTCTGACCTCTCTGAAAACGTTTATCTTTGCTCAGGTTTATGCATGTTATTTCATGGAAGGCCTAACGATTCTCAGCAAGGATCCACCTATGTGGATTAATGATATGACGGAGACCAACAAGAGCTGTTCGGAGTGTCTTGTATGTAGAATGTGTTCACATCTGGACGCTAATAGTGGTTTTGTGCAACTGTGCTACAGTGACTGCAGGAGATGTTTTTAAGGAAAACTGTAGGAGTCGTGCAAGTACCTTGAGGCTTAATTATAGTTATGGTTCTGAATGGTAGGCAGATGTATAGGTCTGAAAAGCTATAAGCACAAGTAAGACTGAGTAATGAGAGATCATCCCTGTACCCCACCAGAAATTCTGTGTTCTAAGTTGACATGGCAAAAGTGGGAGATACTAAAGTAGCAGACGCGTAAAGCTGTAGAAAAGAGGGACTCAACCACTTCGTCCTGCTGTCTTCTCTGCTGCTTTCAGTGAAGGATTGTTCTGTTCTCTGCTGGTTCCTGGCCTTATTGTTCTTATGTTACTCAGTTTCACTAATTTGCTGTTATTGACTACCATATTTTCTGATATTATTTTTCTTGTCTGCATTATTTTAATTGTCTCTCAATATGGATGTTGTAGAAGTCTGTACCTTTTGTCTCCATTCTGACTCGCTTCTGTCTTGGTATTTCTTTTATATATTTTTTTTTATTTTCTTCCATGCCTGTCACCTTCATGTTATGCTGTTTAATAATTTGAGTAATAGTAAATCTACCTTTTAAAAGGCTTTATCCTGGACTTAATGGATTTCAAAAATGCTTTACTTGTTAATGAGCTATGTACGAGGACCAGATTTGTGCCTAAATGTGTATACAGATTAGGTGCTCTAGACATGGCAGATGTCCTAGAGTAGCTAACTAAATCTCTGTCCTCATCTGGGCTTATATATTAATTGTTTATATTTGCAGTAGTTTGAAGATGTGGATTTTTTGTTACTTTCTTCACCATGTGAACTTAATGTAATCCTGTATACTAGTTAATATACAGCAACAAATCTAAACCACAGTTTTTAATCAAAATACTTTTCCTCTATAGACAGAAATCGCCAAGAGATTGAATACAATTTGTGCACAAGTCATCCCATTTTTGTCTCAGGAAGTAAGTAAAACTGTTCAGCTGTTAAAGTGCAATTATGTTGCTTTTCTGTTTGCAAATTAGCTAGTTTTAAGATGTTAATTTTATCACAATACACAAGTGTAAGGAACATCTGTTATAGCTGAAGTGTGCAAACCCCCTGCTAATTTGGTCTAACAAATCTGAGTTCAAACTAGTGACAATGGCTCAGCCTCATTCATTGCCTGAGGAGAGTGGGAGTCTGTAAAATATTGCCAATGTGACAAAATGCTTTCATTTCTAATCATGGTGATTGCTTATTTGATATTCAGTTGTCAAATATGAATCTAGTGAAATAAGCATGCTTATCATGTCTACATAATTTATATCAAATTTTAGTATAAAAGGTGAGTAGTTAGCTCAGATGCAAAACACCGTTTAAGATTACAGACTTGCATCTGGTCTGAGTGGCTGTGATTGTACCGTACTGTGGGCAGCTGCTGTTACATTTTGAAGCCTGTTATTTTGGATATGCCTTTTCAAACTCTACAGTTTACAGAGGGTGCCTGTAATTCTTGTTGAGTTCAGTGAAGCAATACTCTTCCCTGTTCGAAATTTCAGTAGGTTTTGCTGTGTGGGCACAGAGTATAAAAATGTTAAAATTCACACTAGTGTGAAGTTGACATTATCATCCTGTCAGCTCAATTAGAAACTGATTATTCATTTGCCGGAAAGCTAATACTGAAGTGGCGTGAGGGAAGAGGTGAGCTGGCTGCCTTCAGGGCTCTTGTTTGCTTTTGAACAGGTGAGCAATCGGGCACTGCTACCTCTTACCTGCATAAGATGTCTTGCAACAGGTAGCCTGGGCTTCTGCAGACAAACCGGTTATTCAGATGTTGGTGACCCTGGTTGGATTTGTTTTGCGGTCAATACCTTAACACAAATTCTTCCCCATACCCTTTCTTCTTTTAACAGCATCAGCAGCAAGTGGCCCAAGCTGTAGAACGTGCCAAACAAGTGACCATGGCTGAACTGAATGCCATCATCGGGGTACGTGGCCTTCCAGGTCTACCTCCTACAGTGTGTATAACTTGCTTTCATATCTTACTGCTTTGCTATTTTTAAGATAAGCTTAATGTTTTGATATCTAATGCTGTTTTGATGCCCGATATTGCTGAAGTGTTTGCCTTGCTCCACTTCATTTTAGCAGGGATAAAGTTAATAGCTTACTTTCTCAGAACATCATTTTGTGCAGCAATGCTGTGTGTAACAAAACTTTTCCTTCAAGAAATATAATGATTAGGAAAGTTGCTTGTTTATCTATAGGTATTGTATGTCAGTTGATCTGGTTACCTTTGCCTCATGCTTTTTGTGACACTTGAGTTCTTGGAGACTGTACAACTATTCATTCTTTTTTCTTTCCCTTTCTTGTGGATCTTTCATGAATTTTAAATTAGCATGCTACTGAAAAGAAACTTCACTTGCTTTTGAAGTAGTATTAATTGTCTGACACAGTGTTCTAATAGCCTTTCACCAAGTATGTGCTTCTAAATATGCTGAAATAAGTTAATACCACTTGCTTGTGACTGGCTGTCAATCACAAGTCATTTGCTTTGTATTAATGAACTTTCTGAACCATACATTCCTTCCACTGCATGAGTTCATTTCCCCCGACACTAAGTCTAGAATACTTCTCATGTTTTCTGCCCTTCCAGACTAAGTGAAAGAAGTAGCTGAAACAAGAACCCGTCCTTTCTGATTTTATTCATATGTGAGCGCCTTGAGCGGATTCAAATTACTCATTTATCAATTTATGTTAATTGCTTGTGAGAAGATGCCCTGCTGGTCTTTATAGTTCCCTCAGACACTTTGTAATGATAATTAGACATGCTGCTGTACGGATTAACAGTGCCATAGTCCAATGACGTCTACAGACAATGGAACCAGTTAATCCATCTGTGCTTAAAATTACATCCCAACTGGAGATGGAAAAAAAAAAAAGGAGTGAGGGAGGATTAAAAGAATGAGCCTCAGCTTGAAAACTCTCCTTTCATCAGTTTCTCAATTGCAGATCTGCAGTCGGTTTGCCTGTGGTAAGCTATTGGCAGTCAATTAGGTGAAATAAACTGGGAGGGTGACCTTCATTTCCTTTTAATAGCTTTTCCTCCCTGAAATGGGGAGCTTCAGTGGATTTTCAGCTTAAATTTTATTCAAGCTGCTTTATTACACTTGACAGATTAGCTTTGCATAAACATACCCCCCCTTCAAATCTGTGCTGTTTTTTTCTTTCATATCAAATTTTGACTGTTACTTAGTTGATTTGCTAATCACATCTTAGAAACCTACACAATTACTTCTGTATTTGTCACAAACTCCTCTGTGCTTTGCTTGTGTAATGAATTACTTTATGAATACCTGATTTGATCTTTGAAATACAGCACATGTACATTTGTGGTATTTGATTAACAAAGATTAGAGAACTGTACCTTCTTGCATTTTTTAAAATTAATTACTTGTTTAGGATGAAAATGGAATGGAACCCCCTTTTTTAATGAACTAGTTTTAAAGAATATTTTATGCAGTAAGTGGTAATATTTATTAAAATATATTTA